CCCCTCGGACCGCGTGCCCAGCCTTCCCGCCTCGCCCCGGAAAACCCACCTCTTCCTGCAGACGTGGTCCTCGTGCAGAGCGGAGCGGCCTCGGCGGGGTGAGGGCTGCCTCTGGAGAGGCTGCACCCGAGCTGCCCGTGGGTAGCTCACCGCCACCGGGGACAGCGAGGGCGCCTTCCCTCCTCCAAGTCGCAGGGACGCGCCGCGTGTCCGTGTTACACGCAGAGCGTCTACCGCTACTTCAGCCTGCCTGCCTCCATTCTGCCTTTTCTAGAAGTTTTGCCACTTACTTTTCAAAACCTGGAGGGCAGGGAGGTTCAGTAACTCGCCTAGGTCACGGGAGTGGTCACGTGAACACGCTAGACTAGGCACGTGGACAAGGGGCGGGGCCACGTGAGCATGCACGAGTGGGCTTGTGATAAGGGGGCGGGGCCATGTGAACATGGAAGAGTAGGCACGTGAACAAGTGATAACCCAATGGTGAGCCCGGGTGTTTCCGCCCCGCCCCCCCTGGTGTCTCCCAACACCGGAGAATGAGCTGCGTGAACCAGAAGGTTTACCCGCGGTTCTCAACCTGTGGGTCGCGACCCCTTTGGCGGTCGAACGACCCTTTCACAGGGGTCGCCTAAGACCATCCTGCGTATCAGATATTTACAATACGATTCATAACAGTAGCAACATTACAGTTAAGAAGTAGCAACGAAAATAATTTTATGGTTGGGTCACAACATGAGGAACTGTATTTAAAGGGCCAGAAGGTTGAGAACCACTGGTACTAAGCAAAAGTGGAAAATGTATTACCAGCAGGTTCAGACTCCCCGCAGGGAGGGGAGGCCCAAGGATGGGCTGCCCCCTCAAGCCCGTGGCCCAGGGTATATATTTGCTACAAGCCTGCTCTGTGTCTACCTGTGTCCCCTGATTGACTCCCTCATTGTTCGCGCCCAGCCACGGACCTGAACTTGCTCTGCTTCTACGTCCGTGCACCTGGTGAGGACAGGCCCTCCCTCGGTTCCCAGGCCTCTGGCTTTGAGCTCAGAAATATTTTACTATTTCTGCTCGGTCGGTTCCTGTGACTAGGCTGCTCACCCTGCCATGGCTGCCTCTGCCTTTGTTTCCCCACCACCACCCGGCCCTGTCGGCCTGCATTTCAAGTTCACCCTCTCACAAGGGGGCAGGGCCACGTGATCACTCAGAAGTGGTCACGTGAGCAAGGGGTGGGGCCATGTGAACACGCAGGTGGTCACGTGAGGATGGAGGCGGGGCCACTGAAGATGGAGGCTGAGATTGCAGGGATACAGCCAGGAGCCCCCAGAAGCTGCAGAGGCAGGAAGGACCCTCCCTCGGAGGGAGCACAGCCTAGACCAGGGGTGGGCAAACTTTTTGACTCCAGGGCCACAATGGGTTCTTAAACTGGACCGGAGGGCCGGAACAAAAGCATGGATGGAGTGTTTGTGTGAACTAATATAAATTCAAAGTAAACATCATTACATAAAAGGGTACGGTCTTTTTTTTTTTTTTTAGTTTTATTCATTTCAAACGGGCCGGATCCAGCCTGCGGGCCGTAGTTTGCCCACGGCTGGCCTAGACCCTGATTGCAGATTCTGGCCCCAGAACGGGGAGAGCCTCGTTCCCGTAGCTTAGACCAGTCTGTAGCCATGGGAGCAGCAGCCCCGAGAAACACACCCCTCCTTGCCCCTTCTTTGGGGGCTTTGACCGGGTTCTGGGAACAGCTGAGCCCTGGGCCCCAGCAGGGGGACCCCTAGACCTCTCGCTGTGGGGCTCACAGGGAGATCCATCCCCGTGTCTGTGCCTCTGTCTCTGCTTCCTGGGGGCTCCCAGGCAGTGACAGTGCAGTGGGCGCACCAGGCAGGCTGCTTGGTGGGAAACGCAGGCCACGTGGCTCAGGGACTCCCCCTGCCTTGCCCAGCCCCCAGCTGCAGGATGAGGCAGGGCACTCCCCAGCCCCGCCCTTACCTCCCTCCCGGGCCTTCCCCTAAGGCAGCGGTTCTCAACCTGTGGGTCACGACCCCTTTGGCGGTTCCAGCCTGGGCCTCGGCTCTGGAGCACCAGGGTTGACAGGAGCCCACAGCTGGGTTGTCGTGCCCATATTCTAGATGCCAAAACTGAGGCTCAGACGGGGAGCCAAGGTCCCTACCCACAGACCACCTCCCCCTCAACTCAGTCCAGCTCACAGGCGGCTCCCTCGGCTGCCACCTGGTTGCCATGGTGTCGGAGGAAGAGGAGGAGGAGCCGGAAGAGGAAGAGAAGCAGGAGGAGGAGAGTCCTGAGAAGCAATCCAAAAATACACACCCGCTGGCTCCTCCCTCCTCACTCCCCCTCCACCTCCTTTCGTGCAGCTAGGCCCGGGCCTCTTCCTGGCCAGGCAGCCGGGAGCAAAGGAGGTCAAGGAGGCAGAGGGTCCAGGAGCTAAGTTATAACTCGTGAATCCTCTTTTCTGCTCTCGCAGGGACCCCCTTAATTCTGAGCGGAGCGCCTGGCAGGGTGTCCCTGCAGCATGTGGAGGAAAGAGCAGAGGGCTCGGACCCTAGAGGCTGTACACGTCCTGGCCACCGTGGCCCAGCCTGTGCCCTGGAGGGACCTCTGAGCCGCCGGTTCTCCCTCTTAAACTGTCACAGCTCCCTCTGGGGGGGGGGGGGGGGCGGGGATGTGCAGATGAGGGCATCAGCGTGGAGACGGGAAGGCGCTGCTACAGAAATGGAATCTGTCAGCGCCCATGTTGGTGAGGGCAGTGGAGTCAGAACCCGTCCTTCACTCTGAGCCACTAACAGCAACGTGCGCACACGTTCACACCACACATTCACACCACACGCCCACACATGTTCACACCACGTGCACACGTTCACACCACACGTGCACGCACGTTCACTCCATGTATGCACGCACGTGTTCACACATGTGCACACACGTGTACATATACACACATTCACACCACATGTGTACACAGGTTCACACCACACATGCACACCACACGTGCAGAGGCCTGAGCACATCTCTTGAGCCAGAGCAACTTACATTCCCCTGGAAGCCACCCAAACCAACCTCAGCCACAAGATCATTCACACTCCATGGCTTCTCCGGGCTATTTCCCTTGGGCCAAAGGACTTGCCATCACATGATGTACTCCAGTTGGGAACCCTGCCCCCCACCCCCTGGGGCCTGGGGAAGCCTTTATATAGTTTATCGAGGGAGCAACGGAGCTGGAAATCCCAGCACCTTCCAGCCAGGCTGCCTAATGGGATTTGGAGAAAGTCACGCTGGCTCAGTGCAACCGTCTGTCTGTCTCTCTCCATCTCTCTCCATCTCTCCATCTGTTTTGTCTGTTTCTCTCTCTCTCTCTCTCCCTCCCTCCTTCCCTCCCTCTCTTTCTGTTTCTCTCCACCTCTGCCTGTCTCTGCCTGTGCCCAGCAATCTCCCTTCTGGGTTTCTACTCAAAAGGACCGAAAGCAGAACCTCAGTTCCCTGCACACCTGTGTCCACAGCAGCACTATTCACAGCGGCCCTGAGGTGGGGGCACGCCGGTGTCCATGGACGATGGTGGGTAAACAGTGCCAGTGGCGGTCCAGCTGTAGGAAGGAATATTACTCCGCCTTGAAAACGAGGGACATCCTGAATGTGCCACAACCCGGAGGAGCCTGGAGGATGTGCTAAGTGGGAGAAGCCAGTCACAGAAGGACACAGACTGCGGGTTCCCTGTGCTGAGGCGCCTGGAGAGGTCAAGGTCAGAGAGAGGCAGAG